ACATTTTATTTAAATTGATTGTATTTTATTTTATTTTAATTCATTTTATTTTATTCTATTTAATTTTTACAAATTCCTTTTGCTGTTCCTATCCGCTTGTTAAGTGTGACGTCACCCGAAGCAGCTTCCGGGTCCAAGCGCTCTATTCAACTGAATGGGGAGATAGATGAAATGGTAATAATAAACGTTTACAAAGCGATTTAATACTTTCGAAAGTCACGATTGCAATATATATGTCCATGCCTAATATTCGATGGCCAGAAAGTGAGTCATTTTTATAAATTGTTAAAATGTTGGTATTTGTTATGCAGCAAGCCCAGAGATTGTTGTGTACACTATGACTTTATGTAAAATTAACTTTAATATTTGATAGGAAGGGCGAGGCAGTGGCGCAGGTGTTTCTGTGTGGAGTTTGCATGTTCTCCCTGCCTTTGCGTGGATTTCCTCCGGGTGCTCCGGTTTCCCCCACAGTCCAAAGACATACGGTACAGGTGAATTGGGTAGGCTAAATTGTCCATAGTGTATGAGTGTGTGTGTGGATGTTTCTCAGAGATGGGTTGCTGCTGGAAGGGCATCCGCTGCGTAAAAACTTGCTGGATAAGTTGGTGGTTCATTCCACTGTGGCGACCCCGGATTAATAAAAGGACTAAGCCGACAAGAAAATGAATGAATGACTGAATGAATGTATGATAGGAATAAAAAGTGATCATAAATGAATGATTTCTCCACTCAAGTGAATGGCGGCTTGGACCCGGAAACAGTATTACATACGTCACAAACACATCACCACTTAACAAACGGATAGATACATTTTTAACATTGGCTCAGTATTTTTTAAGTATTTCTTTATTGTTATGTAATTATATGTTATTGTATACCTTTCTCATTTTATTACCTATTACCTTTGCTCTCCCCGTAGACATACAAATCATCCCCACCCATCTGACTTTCCAGCCTCCACCAAAGGCTGTCAGTGAAAGCCCACACACACATATACACACACCTAGCCAAGCATGGATAAACGGTTAAAATATTCATACGTAAGAACACAGAAAGAGAAAGAGAGAGCATACAACCATGCAACAGAGCAAAGCAATGAAGCTGAGAGAGAAAGGAAAGCGTATCAGCCCTGTTTGATCCAGTACAGGCCACATGGTCCAACTCTCATTAGTGTAATTAAATCCACAAATCACCTCAGAAAAATACATTGACATTCATTATTGCCCACCACTGAGATGGAGAACTGCCACTTTTGTGGAGGCTTACAGAGTTTGGAGCGGTGCTGAAGCCCTCAGCATTTTCGATACGAGTCCTCCCTGACAAAAAGACGATGAAAGTCACTGAATGATTTACAGTGACTGAGGAAAAGAGGACAGTGAGATGCTAACACTGAAAGTAGCACACAAAGTCTGCATAGAGCCAGACACACACAAACACGCACAAACTGTTGACTCTAACATTATCTCTCTTGTTCATTACATTAGTTTTATTATTTCTAATCGTTATTAGGTTTTATTACCTATTTTAGGTTTCATTTTTTGCGATATTATTTATTTGTTTTGACATAGACATCACAATTACACTGGACAACCAAATGCGTTTGTTTAAGTGGTTTAGCAGACTTGCTAATTCTGTCCAAGGAACACTTGACATAAATTGAACATAAAATAAATACATATAGAGAGAAAACACATTGATCAATAGAGGTCTTACTCTTTGGAATAAGACAGTCACGATTAGCAGTTGCTTGTGTAACTCTGCGAGAGGTTTGATGCCTACATGATTATTTAAACATTTAAAAAACAATTTTATAAATACAACTTTATTAAACTATCAAAACTAAAAGGTTATGTTTACATAAAACCTCACAATTATGCCATCGCATAGGTTTTAAGTCCATACTTTTACTGCTTGTTTATATATCGTGTCAATAGGCTTCAGTGTGGTTACAGAGGTTTGTTACCATGATGTAATGCAATATGACAAGTGTGAGAATATCATTGTGTGCATGTTTAATTTTGCAGTTTGATATGTTACAAATTTTCTAATAAAACAAAAAAAATTAGACTTGGATTGACCTTCTTACACATATTTTTAGCATGAGTATCAAATGTTTCATTTATGTCTAGAGTTATGCCAAGATACTTGATTAAAACTGTACATGTTGAAATTGAAACTCCAAACTGCAATAAAAATTTATATCTTCCAATTCTGTATTATTTATTTATTTATTGCTGTTTTGAGAATTCAAAACTATTTTTTTAATTCAAATTAAATTCATTGGTTGACTTTATATAGTGTAAAAACTATAATAATAATAATAATAATAATAATAATAATAATAATAATTGACAGTTCATTCCACTGTGAAGACCTCCGATAATTTAGAGAGTAAACTGAAGAAAAATTAATGAATGTATACAATAATAATATTAATAATAATAATAATATTAATAATAATAGACTGGAGTGACCCCTGATAATAAGGAACTAACTCAAAGAAAAATGAATGAATTTTAATACAATAATAATAATAATAATAATAACAACAACAACAACAACAACAACAATAATAATAATAATAATAAAAATAGGTGGTTCATATAACTGTAATGACCCCTGATAATAAAGGGACTAACTCAAAGAAAAAATGATGAATATATTTTAATAATAATAATAATAATAATAATATAAATAATAATAATAATAATAATAACAACAACAACAATAACAACAACAACAACAACAACAACAATAATAACAATAATAATGTTTTGGAAAAAGTTTACAGTACAGTACAGTATTAGTACAGTATCAGTACAGTAGAGATATCGGGTTCTAATTTACAGTATGTGGAAACAGCTGTGTGTGTTATTTATCTTTTTTATTGGCTCCACAATTTTTTTTATTTTTCTAATGCAGTTTTTTTTTTTTTTTTTTGGCTTAATTTGTCACATTTGTATATAATTCTGCTGCTATTACTCACCTAAAATTGGCACCAATAATTAAATTAAAAAATATTTAATTATTAACAACGCTCAACATTTTAAAAAATTTTTTGTATGAACACATATAAAATGTAATTTTATATTTGCGTGCGTGTGTGTGTGTCTGAGTATAAAAAAGTCTGATCTGAAATAGCATGTGCTGACTGTGCAGCATTTTAGTGTTGTTAAACCTGCTCTCACATACTAATCAATTTGTCTTTTTGAAGCATTCAGGCCGTGTCAGATCACTACTGAGCTAATATTATGCAGAAACATGAATATAAAGTGATGATGTGCGCAGTGTTTAGATAAGACTGAATTCTAGAAAGATGAGAAAGTATTATTGTCACAAGTTTTTAACTTTAATAAACTTTAATGGCACAGCTCCATTTTCAGTATCACAGGGAAATATTGCTTTATTTATTATTATATTATATTATAATAAACATTTATAAATATTTAAAATGACTGTTTTTATGCACATCTTCTTTTGATAAATTCAAGTCAGATTGGCTTATTTATAATGATAAAGAATTAGTACATTAATCAGTCAACGAAGAATGAATGAATGAATGAATGAATGAATGATTTGATTATTTAATATTTGTTGTTTTTGTTACTTTGAATTAAAACATTCTAATGAATTGTGCTATTTAGCATTCAAATAAGTTTCCACTATTCTTAGTTGCAGATTTAGTTTTAGATCAGAAACCACTAGTCAGAACTGTACATATGTTGTCACAGTGTTTTTATGAAAGTCAAATGAACCTTAGCTCTTAAACCAGTAAGCAATCTACAATCAATAACACAAACAAATAAATGAAAACAATGTTTTATTTTCTTTAGGTGGTTCTAAAATGTTTTTGGGCCCTTTATACACCCGACATAAGACATGTTTGCACAATTTTTTGCTATTTTCAGACCAGCGCAACACAAATTTTTAAGTTGTTTAAATACAAGAGCGCATTAGTTATGCATCTATGCAGGTACAAAAGCTTAATACACGGAATGTACAGCAATATACAAATATCTTTAAATATGAAAAAATAAAGGATTAAAATGCTACAAGAATTCTTTTTACTACATAAATACAAAAATCATACCTGCATACCTCCTCTTAGGAGGCTTTTTCTGTTTATTCATGACAATTTGCTTTTGTATAATATTATTATTTTTAGTAGTAGTATTTATTATGTGCGTATTTATTTTAATAAAAACAACTTTTTGATTTTCACCATATGGGCAGTTTTTTATTATTGTTAATTTATTCATTTGCTGGAAATTAGAACTGAATTTAGAAATAGTTTTGAAGCAATTAGATTTAAAAAAAATTAAATATGTAGGCTTATAGAAGTCTTCAGTGGTGTGCGCTCAACAACATTTCCTCATCCAAGAAAGAAAAGGAGTAAAGTAAAAAGTAAAAGTAAAAAGAAAGTAAAGAGGCTGAATGGAGGAGGCTCACTCTTTATCCTCGCGCTGCAGATGGTCTTTTTAGATTTTTTCTTGCTAGTAAAGAGCTCAGTTTTTACTCTTACAAAGTCTGCCATGTAAATATTAAATGCGCCATGGCGCCATGCAACTGACTCGTAGAGTGTATTTTTCCGTCTTTAAAATAACAAAAGTGGATTCGGACATGCCCTTAATACGTTTGGGCCACGCACTTTAGAATTTGCGCCTAGATAGTTAAAATAGAGCCCTTTGTCTTTTGTTATAGGTTATTTTCACTTTACATTGTGTTATAAATGTAGGCATTGTGTTTTAAAGACTGGTATGTTGATGTTATCATATATTTTGCCTTTTAGAGCGCAAGAAATTGTGTGTATCGATGCTGCTGAAAATACTGTTGATTTTGTATTATTTTAAAAAAGTCAGTATAAACACATATCGAAATATCAATAGAATACGTTTGATAACACTATGAGTGTGTGCTTTATAACAGCAGATGCTCAGCTGAGAGTATGTCGAGTCTGTGTTTCTCTGACTTTGACGTCTGTCTTTTGTTGTTTTGTGCAGGTGCAGGTGGGAAGCTCCGCTCAGGACCAGCGTGTTGTTGGATACATCACCTGTACTCATCTGCATGCTATTGAAGGCAAGTGTTCAGACATACAAAACAAAGGCTGAGTCATATTATTGTGACTCCTTGAATGAGAATCACCTAGCAACCAGTTAGGGGTGGTTTTCCCCAAAACCTTGTTAGATAGCTATGGTCAAAATTATTCGCCCTTCTGTGAATTTCTTTTTCTTTTTCAAATATTTCCCAAATGATGTTTAATAGAGCAAGAATGTTTTCACAGTATTTCCTATAATATTTTTTTTTCTGGAGAAAGCCTTATTAGTTTTATTATATTTTCTAGAATAAAAGCAGTTTTTAACTTTTTAAAAACCATTTTAAGGTTAAAATTATTAGCCCCTTTAACCTATATATTTTTTGATTGACAGAACAAACCATCCTTATACAACGGCTTGTCTAATTACCCTAACCTGCTGAGTTAACCTAATTAATCTAGTTAAGCCTTTAAATTGTATTTTAAACTGAATACTAGTATACTAGTATTAAAAAAATATCTAGTAAAATATTATTTACTGTCATCATGGCAAAGACACAAGAATTATTAGAAACTAGTTAATAAAACTATTATGTTTAGAAATGTGTTAAGGCAGGGGTGTCAAGCTCAAATCCTGGAGGGCCGAAGCCCTGCACAGTTTAGTTCCAACCCTGCTCCAACACACTTACCTGTAGGATTCAAACAAGCCTGAAGGACTCAATTAGTTTGATCAGGTGTGTTTAATTAGGGTTGGAACTAAACTGTGCAGAGCTGCGGCCCTTTTGGAACTGAGTTTGACACCTGTGTGTTAGGGGGACTAATAATTCAGGATGGCTTAATATTCTTCAACTGCATAAACTTGGGGTGGGAATATTTACGGACTTTAGAATCTGTTGCGATTCCAGTTATGGATGTCATGATCTGATTTCAAAACGATTCTTGACCGACATTTTTTTCTATTTCTTAAGCTGTGAAAAAAAATCTTTCCAACTTTACATTTGTAGCGATAATTGAGTTCCTATGTATTTGCTTATGATTGGAATCTATGTATGACTGTACTGCCATGTTAAAAATTATTTATTTTTATTAACAAAATTATATTCACAATATACATCATAAGTCCTGAATGTAATACTAAAACAAAGCATAGTTTCAGCCTAATGTGATAAGTGGAACTAAGTAAAAATTTAGTTTTAAATCTGTATATTTAGTTCAATAATTATAATTGTATTTTTATTGTGATATTAATAATTATTGTATTATACACTCTCAGAAATAAAGGTACGTGATCTGTTACTGGGGTGGTATCTTTTCGAAAGGTACAAATTTGTACCTAAAAAGTCCATATTGATACCTCAAGGAAACATATTAGAACCTAAAAATTTTAAGAAGAAAACTTTTGTATTTTTTAGGTAGTAATTCGTACCCTTGAGGTATTAATATAGACCTTTTAGGAACAAATTTGTACCTTTTGAAAAGGTACTACCCAGTGACCAATCTCTTACCTTTATTTCTGAGAGTGTATTATATTAATATTGTTTGCCAAAATTAACAAATATAAAGTATATAAGGGTGAAGAGGCTGTACGAGTGCTGTTATTGCAGAATATTGCACGGCTATCTGCCAATCAGATTTGAGAACCAGACAGAACTGTTGTCTAAATATATATGTAGTTGTTATGTATATGTATAAATATAAATAAAGTTGTAGATGTTATTGGTATTTTTCCATTTAAATTTTTATTAATTACTTTATGGATGTTATTTCACATTGTTTCACTTTCTTGTATACATTATTAATGAAACATCTTTTACATAACATAAATTTTATTATGCAGCCATATTTTCTCCTCAGGACCATAATGTTTGCACCATGTCGCCTGTTCATGTTTAAGCCCCACACATCCATTCATGACCCCCAGTGCTGCTGCTTTGCTCAGACCGTCGCTCTGATCCTGAGCGATCCTGACAGGTTTGTCCGGACCTCGCTGCTCGTCTCCCGAACATCCAGTAGATTTCCATGTCTCTCGTATGTGAGGCTGTACAATCTCCTCTACTCTGCTTTTTCATCTCAGTATCCTGTGTCATCGCTGCGTGTTGTTGACCCCTGTTCTCCGCTCCGATTAATCACAGCACTTCCCGCTCGCCCACCGGCTCCCGTTTCCATGACGACAGGTGCTCGGCGGGCCCTGGCGTCAGCCCTATTTAAAGCCCGCGCTCATTTTTTACAAAGACACTCGTGCTATTCTGGGCTCCACCTACGCATGCGTGTGTCTGCCGCCAGGGCTAATTATAGAGCGCCACTATTTCAGGAGCAGAAATGAAGCATGAGGGAGAAACCTGATTATGCTGGAGATGATGCTGGACAGGGTCTGGGCTTTCTCAAACACTTGTTTTCCCCTGTCACACTCTGTTTGTGTGTGTGTGTACAGTACAGTGTGGTAGAGTATAGGTTTTGACAGTGCAGAGGCAGATTGGAGTTATTCTCCTGACACACACACACACACACACACACACACACACACACACACACACACACACACACGTGTACAGTATGTCAGGTTACCTGCCTTGTGGTTTCGTGTTCAGTTTTGAGATTTCAGGAAAATGTATTGCTCACTAGTTGCTTGTGTCAGGTGGAGTTAATCTTATGTTTGTACTATCATGTATCAAAATATGATTTATTGTTATTTTAAAATGTATGATACGATTGTAACATTATTGGTTTTATCATTCATTCATTCATTTTCTTTTCGGCTTGATCCCTTTATAAATCTGGGGTTGCCACAGCGGAATGAACCGACAACTTACGACAACAGCTGGAACCCATCACTGGGAAACATCCATCTCATTCACACACATACACTACCAACAATTTAGCTGACCCAATTGACCTATACCACGTTTTTGGACTCGTGGGGAAAACCAGAGCACCCAGAGGAAACCAACACAAATAAGGGGAGAACATGCTAACCCAGCCTGGGCTCGAACCAGTAACCTTCTTGCTGTGAGGCGATTTTGTAACCCACTGCACCACTGGTTTTATCATTTAAAACATAATATATTCATATTATTTATAATTAGGGCTTGACATTAACTTTTTTTGATCACCAGCCACTAGTAGTTTTCCAACATTATTTCCTACACTAGTAGTTTTATACATTAGCCACTCGCCATTTTTACTAGCCACAAATTTGTTGTTGGGAAATATATTTTATATGCAGAAAATTGACTTTGGCATGCTAAGATTACTTGATTTAGAGTTTGTGTTATGTCCCAGCCTGATTTCACGAGGAAACGTAAGTATTTTACGTTTTGTCAGTTTAGTGGCTAGTTCAGTTGTATTAAAATGTACAATTTTAAAAAGGAGACGTGGCACCCAAACCCCAACCCTAAACCCAACCGTCATTGGGTGATGAGCAAATCGTACTAAATTGTACGAGTTAGATCGTACGAATTCATACGAATTAGCCACAAAATCAAAAAGTTATGATTTGCCGCGAGAATGTGTTGTATGTCCACACGCTTTCTCATTCAACTTTTTTGTGTGCTATGTATGACCTGCTCAAATGGGTTGTGGTTTCATTTGTGTTACATTGCAATTCATTTTTATTTTAGACTTTTCAGGGCTTAACATTAGGGATTTACCAATTTTTTCACTGGCCACATCAAAAAAATAGATAAATAAATAAACAAATAACTAATTATTTCATTCATTCATTTTCTTTTTGGCTTAGTCTTAATCTGGGGTCGCCACAGCGGAATGAACCGCCAACTTATCCAGCACGTTTTTAGGCAGCGGATGCCCGTCCAGCCGCAGCCCATCCCTGGGAAACAACCATACACACTCATTCACTACGGACAATTTATCCTACCCAGTTCACATGTACCACATGTATTTGGATTGTGGGGGAAACAGGAGCATCTGGAGGAAACCCACGTGAACGCAGGGAGAACATGCAAACTCCACACAAAAGCGCCAACTGACCCAGCCGAGGCTCGAACCAGTGACCTTCTTGCTGTGAGGCAAAAGCACTACCTACTGCGCCACTGTGTTGCCCTAATTATTTCTTAACTACAAATTTTAACTAGTTAAAAATTTTTAAAACAAGCTAAATATAGCTATGTACATGCACTTTTTATTCCATAAAACCTTTCCTTAAAAAAATTGCATTTAAAAAATAACTATTTTCATCTAAAACTATGCACAGTGATCTGTCCAGGCTAAAGGTCCCAGATCACCAGTTAACTGTAGATAAATGGGAAGTTAATCTTCTATTAAAGCAATGTTATTGTAATGGTTGATAATTTAACCATAAAATTATCATAAAAAACAGCGCAAAAGAAAGCAGGTGAAAAACATGCTGTGTGCAATAATAAAAGATGATGATCACGTGTACATGGTTAACATTAAGTCCTTTAATAATCTGTTCAAAGAATGGTTAAAGAGCCCCTATAATACATTAAAAAGGGTCATATTTTGGTTTTAAGGGTCTCCAACAACAGTCTGATATGCATGCAAGGTCAAAAAACACTTTTATTGTTTTATAATATGCATCTATTTTTACCTAATTATCCCAGCGACTCCCAAATGAATCGTTCAGTGATTCATTTGTACCCAAATCCTACCTTAGCGCGAAGCTAATCTGCGCTGATTGAACCGATGATAGTCTGTTGCGAATGGTCAACAGCATTTAGCACGAGACAGACGTTGTAAGCGTGTAGATTACTGAAGCACTCGTCAGAAAAATGAGGGCTATAATGCTGTGGTATTTTTGCTAAATTAAACCTCACCACTGACTCGTCACAGTTTCATCTTTGGGTTGAGAAAATAACAATAACTTTTGCTCACATTTCCAATAATATCCAGCTGAGCACAGCGTCTTCATGAATTGATTCAACCGGATTTTGCTACAGTGTTTGTCTTTCTCTTTTTCTTTGCTACTGTTTGTAGGCAGAGTCGCAAGTTTAAATTTTCCCAGGTTTGCACACGTAGCAATTTAGCGGGGCTTAAGTTTCGTATCGTCATGCCGAAATGGCTTATTAAAATTATTCATTTGAAGCACTATAAGTAGACTTTTATAAATGAATCAATATTTTTAAACACTAAACACTTTCAGATTTAAGTCTTAGCTGGATATTTCACTTCACTTAGAGCTGTGTTACACACTACATAGAAGCTCATATTCAAAAACCCATAATAGAGGCTCTTTAAAGCGAAAGCGGACCGCTGCTGCTTACAAACAAAAACAAAAAAACGTTTAAAAAAAAAAAAAAAAAACTGGAGCTCTTGAATGCAGCTGGACTGTGAGTGCATGAACATTACTTTTTCATCAAGTATATTTAGGCACAGTTGCTTCACGCAAGGAAACGGGATCACGCAAACTTTATAAACACTCACGCGCCTCACATCAGCCATGCGCGCAATACTAAAGTCCTCATCAGTAAGTGAAGAAAGCTTGCGTCTATTTTGTCACTCGTGCTGCTTCTCGATGAACTACAGTCTAAAAATGATTTTCAGCCAGCCAAAGTGGCTAGCGAGAGCGGCTCTCCAACCCACCAAGCTGAAATCTACCCGCATTTGGTGGGTTGGTGGGTGTTAATGTCAAGCCCTGTTTATAATATATCTATAAAAATATAATACCTTTAAATCTATAATTTTTCTACAATAAGTTTAGTTATTTTAGTTTTTAGTTATTAGTTTTAGTTTTTATTGATTTTGTAATTGTCTGTGTGATGAACATATTGTGGTAAAACACAATAATGTAGTCTTTAATAATGGTGACAACTAATCCAAACAGAGAAAAAAATAAACATTACATATAATCATAGATACTGTAACGACGGGGTGGAAGTGACAGATACAACTGAGGTAAGATCCAATATGCAGGTTTATTCAGCGTCAAGCAAGCAGTGGTCAAATCAGGTACAATCGGGTATATGCAGACAAATCCAAAATCGTAGTCGTAAATCAGGCAATAGGTCACAAGGCAGGCGGCTAAACAGGAGAACAGGGAATACAGGGCTAGGTTCTAACACGGAGAAAACAAGACAGGGAAATGCGTTGTAATGTCACAAAAAGTAAACAAGACTCGGTAAACCAGATGGGTGCAAGAGTGGCTTATGAATAATGTGTATTCAGTTTCTGACAGGGTTCAGCTGGTGAGTGTAATCAAGTTAGATGAATGAGCAGGTGTGCGTGTCTGGGAGAAGTGCATGTATGAATATGTAGTCCTGGGAAATGGGGAAGTGTAGTTCTGGTGTTCGTGTGAATACCAGCGAGCTCTGGAGAGCGATTGCTGGTTGTGTGACAGATACAAATGAACAGTAAGATGGAGAAAGTCTCAAATACTCAAATACTATGGGGGAATCACTTAATTAATTAACTAATATGATGATGAGAAAACTGAACAAAGGGAACCAACAAAACAAACAGACGTGTTACATTTCTCCCCCATTCTGGAAGGCTTGACCTCAGTTCTATTAATGTTTTAATATTGCCCACTTCTATTTTCGAATGAAGGACAGGGGCTTTGGAGGAGGATGTGAAGCAGGTGATGACTGTTAGAAACAGGGTGTTGATAAAAAGGTTGAAGGCACTGGCCCTCCAGGAACAAGTTTGGTGACCACTGATGTATAGTGTCCCCGTCATTATACTGAGGTAATGTGACTAGGGTAAGGGTTAGATTAGGTTCATCTTCAATTAACATCAGTTAACTTTAGCTGCTTGTTCAAACTACTTCTTCATAATGGGTTAAGACAACACAGTTCTTAAGTTTTTTTTTTTTCATTTCATTGTTTTATGTTCACTTAAATTATTCATTTGTTCATTCATTTTCCTTTGGCTTAGTCCCTGATTTATCAGGGGTCACCAATGTGGAATGAACCGACAACTTATGCGGCACTTGTTTTACACAGTGGATGCCCTTCCAACCGTAACCCAGTGGGAAACACCCATGCATTCACACATACACTCATATGTTAAGGCCAATATAGTTAATCAAATTTATCTATAGCACATGTCTTTGGACTGTGGGGGAATCCGGAGCACCTGGAGGAAATCCAAGTGAACATGGACATGCAAACTCCACACAGAAACGCCAACTGGTCCCGTCAGGACACGAACCAGCGACCTTCTTGCTGAGAGGGAACAGTGCTAATCACTGAGCCACAGTGCCGTCCCACTTAATTTTGTAAAAATGATTAAGTTAACTAAATCGTTTTGTTTCGGGACAACATGAAGGAATTGTCTGGAACCCAATATTTTTTACAGTGTGGGGCTGGAATTGAGGAGTTGGCTGAAACAAGAAATAAGGAATCAAAGCAACATTTAAAGCAAAAATCTCAGACTCCTGTTATAGCTCACCCTGAGTGTAAAAGTGTGGGCAGGGTTTCCATTCATGTCCTTGAACTCCACAAAGACTCGCTTGGGAACTGGCAGTTTTTTTGGCTTACGCACCAATTTTTTGAAAAGAAAACCAGTTCCTGAAAAATGACATAAATCGAACACACACACACACACACACACACACACACACACACACACACACACACACACACACACACACACACACACACACACACACACACACACACACACACACACACACACACACACACACACACACACACACACACACACACACAACCCCTTTTAGACAATTTCAAAGAACATTTTTAGCAGCATCACACACACTTCAAACTGTTTGAGCAATTAATCTGCTGTTTTTCTTTCCCCTCAGTTTTCCTCTCCTCCACTTTCTCTGGAGTAGAAATGTTGCAGATCGTCTGCTCTTTCAGTCTGCTCCACTGCTCATTCACTCTCTCGCTGGCCTCATTAAATCTCTACATCTGCCACAACCATGAGTCGTGAAAATGTGATAAAGTCAAGGCGCCTCAGTGTGACGCTTTTTCATTACACTACATCCAAATCAAATGCTGTTTTGCACAACACTCCACATGCTCCTTACTGAATGAAGGCATCCGTCAGATTCAGTCGTGACTTTTGATTATTTGGTTTTGGTATGTATTTTAGGCGATGCGGCGGTGCGCTGCGAGCAGTTGGACATGTTGTTGGAGTGGGGCGCAGAGTTTCGAAGGGTCACCTCGTGTCCCGCAGATGAGGAGAAGGTGCTGGAGGATCAGGTGGCCTTCGATGTGATCCTCGGAGACCTCAACTTCGACAACTGTTCCTCAGGTATAACAGTGCTGATGATTTACAGATCAACTGGGGCTTTTAATTATAAACCAGTGTTGTATAACTTTAGTTGAATTCTGATAAGGTTCATTCAAAAACACTCTTAAACCTTTCACGCATGCTATCACACTTGTGTGATCAGCCTTGGCTGTTCCCTAAAGCATACTATTATACCGGTGTGATTAGAATGTTCAGAGTGCACGTCATCAACTGCTATAAATCTTTTACAAATAATAGGTGATCCAAATTTTGTTCAGAAAGCTTCAGAGCCAGTACTATGCATCTTATAACAATTATATATAGCATTTATATTTTGGTAAAGTTTTTATATAGTAAATAATATTTCTTCACAGTTGTATTTACTTATTTAAATAAAAAGCAAGACCTATTCAGTATGAGAAAAATATAAACAATAATCTAGTGTTTAGTTAAGTTTTATTTTTATTATTAGATGATTTAGAAGTGTTTTGTTTGCGTTCAATAAAAAGTTTGACTAAAAATCATTTCAATTATAATTCTTAAAAGTTTTTTCAAAATTTATTTTATTTTTAAGGGAACTATCTTTTTAAGAACTGTGAGATCTAAAATATTCATTATAATAATACATATTCTTCTTTTTGTAAAACCCAGCAGACAACTTTATCAAATGGAATGAGTGTAGTTAACTTAAAATTACTGAAAGTTAATTTTACTCATTTAAAGAGTTTTGAACTCAGTGAAAGTAACTCATTACTTCAACTTAAATGGAGTAAGTTCACAGTACTTATATAGATACATTTTTTAATCAAATGGTTTGTAGCAATAAGTTTCCTGAAATGGTTTGAGTTACCTTAACCTTTTGGGTTTTACAGTGTTTATATATATTTCACAACAAGGGAAAATGTACATTAGTTAGCATTCCCTGAGAATGTAAATGTACCCAAATTAGCCTATTGACTAGTTTTCATTGGTGGTCCCTTAGCTAAATGTTAAAGGCCAAACCAATAAACATACAAATTCAAACTCAAACAATTAAAAAAAAAATAGTGTTTACAATTATTATTGTTATTATTAAGAAGCAATTTCTTCAAATTATACTTACAGTAAATGACTTAACATACACATTCTTTAACAGATTTCAAATTCCACTGATGCGATGCTTTAAAAGAAAAACAAGCTTGACCAAAAGAGTTTTTCTTAGTGCAATAATGCAATCAGCTTTATTTATACTATTCATAGTAATAAAATGCTGATGTTCAGCTCACTTGCTAACTATTTTAGATCTTTAATAATTAGATGGCTGTTTATGACCAGAAGGAGGCATTGTAACCCTATCTGTCATGTGTTTTCTGTCCCTTTAGAGGATAAGTTGGAGCAGCAGCATTCGCTCTTCACTCATTATAAAGACCCGTGTCGTCTGGGACCAGGAGAGGACAAACCCTGGGCTCTAGGTCAGTTATCAAAACAGTTTACAAACACACAAAGTCTCAGTCTCAAAGGTGCGGGCAAATGGCTGAAGATTTGCCACTTCTGCACTTGTTGTGGTTCACCAACATGGGGTTTTTCAAGAGCTAATGCAAATGGAACTTTCTAGAGATCAATGTAATGATGAAACATATGTACAACACAGAAATGTTTATCATATTTATCCTAAATACATTTAGATTTTTAGATGACACAAAATAAATTGTTTTGAATGTTACACTATGTTATGATTAACATTTAATATAGTTATGATATTTTATAAACATATATGTATAAAACAATTTAGTTTTTTATTATTATTTTTATTATTATAAATGTTATTATTGTTTTTATTTCTATTATACTGTTAATTTTTTAATTAAAATAATATTTTTAGTATAATAATGTGTTCATATATATATATATATATATATATATATATATACAGTTGAAGTTTGAAGTCAGAATTATTAGCCCCCTTTTGATTTTTTTATTCTTTTTTAAATATTTCCCAAATGGTATTTAAAAGAGCAAGGAAATTTTCACGGTATGTCTGATAATATTTTTTCTTCTGGAAAAAGTCTTATTTGTTTTATTTCGACCAGAATAAAAGCAATTTTGAATTTTTAATAAAATATTTTTGGGACAAAATTATCAGCCTCTTTAAGGTAATTTTTTTTTACGATAGTGTAAAGAACAAACTATTATGCTTAAAAATGTGTTGAAACAATCTTCCCTCCATTAAACAGAAATTGGGGGAAAAAATAAATAGGTATGATAATAATTCAGGGAGGCTAATAATTCTGTCTTCAACTGTATGTATATATATATATAGACATGGCAAAATTCAATTGTATAACTTTTTTTCAGTGAGTTTAATATTTATATATTATAATGTCTTTAATTATAATAATATAACAGTATATTTTAAAACTAAAATATTTCATAAGAATAAAGTATCTTATAATTATATATGTATTTTTCATTAAATAGTGTATCAGCATATTTTATTTTAATTTAATATTCATATTTTTGTTACATATTATTTTAAAAAGTTTCAAATTTTGGTCTTTTAACCTTTTTCCATCTTCAAAAATATTTTTTAGCACATAAAAAATCCCCCAGGTGTCTAAATTGAGTGAGTTTCTGAGGTATTACTGACACATGCAGATGGTGCAGTGGATGAGCTGGCGGTTGACCAGGGCAGAGACGCTGATGTCCAGTCCTGGTTCTGAAATAGATCTGATGGAGAGCAGGCCTTTAATGACTCATCTGGCTTTAGTAAACTCTACTTCTCTTTTATAGCACAGCTACTTTTTGCTCTTCTCTGAGCCTCAAGGCCTGATGAAGGTCTGAGCTCTGACAATATTTAAGACGGTTTGAAAAGATGATCATTTTATTTCCAAGTTCTCAACTTTTTTTTTTTTCTCTTTTGGTTACAGTATTAAACTATTAAGTTATATTTAAAATGCAATTTATTAACATTATTTATTTATATATACAGTTGAAGTCAAGATTATTAGCCCTCCTAACTATTTAATTTTTTAAAATATTTTCTCAAATGACGTTTAGCATAGTAAGGAAATTTGTCACAGTGTTTCCTATAATATTTTTTCTTCTGGAGAAATTCATAATAGTTTTATTTAGGCTAGAATAAAAGCAGTTTTTAATTTTTTGTTAGCTTTTTTAAGGTCAATAATTATTAGCCCTCTAAGCAATATTTTTATTGTCTACAGAACAAACCACTGTTATACAGTGACTTGCCTAGTTAAGTTAAGCCTTTAAATTCCACTTTAAGCTGATACTAGTAGTGCCTATGGAAAATCATCATACCCTGTGAAAATCTATACCTTACATTATACCCTGCTTTCAAAGGATCTTCGGGATACAGTTGTAGGATAGACACATATACATACACATACATATATCATTTGTTTTAAAAGTAATTTATATTAATAACATCTTGAAGGTAAACAATTTAACTTTTTTTACTATAAGATATTATAAGTATTTTATTATAAATATTGCAGTATACATAATATGTTATACAATATAAACATTATCATGTTTTTATTAGGGAAATAATTTATATATATATATATATATATATATATACTAAGTGTGTATATGAAATTTGTATAACTTTGTTAAAAATTCTAAGGATGTGTCATTTTTGCAGGCATTGTGAATCCTATCCTCGGTTAACTCTCAGAACAATTAAAGAAGTTGCTAGAAACCCTTTGCACCGTAATGGAAAGTACTGGAACTATCAGTCTGTCTATGCTAGAATCAGCGATGTGTTAAGAGCAAAAAAGAGAAGATAGAAACGCTTTAGTGGAGAGGGGAGGTTAGAAGCACACAGTCGTGACTCACACAGATTTCCCTTGAGCTCATTTTAATGCCGGTGTTACCCCGCTCTGGTCCAGTGGGGCTTGTGGGTCTAGAGAGACTTTAAATGTCAAATATCTGCCACTTGAACGATTTAAGGATCAGGATATAAATATGTCCAAATCTCCTGTTCAACTGTAACCTGTATGTTGTGCGTGTTTGCATGTGTTTATTACACAGGTACATATTTGGACACAAGTGGGATCTATGATGAGGAAGTCAGTTCACCAGAGAGCCTACAAAAGTAAGCTAACCACAATGGATATGTTTTAAGCATGATATCTCTCAAAATAGCTGACAGACAAAAGCAGAGCGGTATACTTGTTGTATATTTAGTTGTATACTAATGGCTCATTTCTACTGAGTGGTATGGTTTGGTGCAGTACAGTAAGGAACTTGCATTTATTTCTACGTCCACTGTCAGAATAGGGTATATGCCGAGCTGACTTTTGAAGAAAACTGACCTTAAACGGGCAGATTTTTGCATTGGCATACAGTTCACAGGACTGCGCTTAACCCAGGTTACTGGAAAATTAAAAATTCTATTAGCATGCTTCGGCATATACCCAATTACCAAAAAACCAAACTGTATTATACCATTTTTTTGTGAACATGGGTACTTAGGACAGTACTGTGCTAAAAGGGTGAAGATACATTCACTTCTAACTGGTTTACAGAGAATCGTCATTTACATGTGCAATAAGCCAGGAAAACATCAATACAAGAAGCCATTTTTTAATGCACAGCTGATAAACAACACCATAATAATACAATGATGGTGCGAAGCAATGAACCTTGCTCAACCCGATCACAAACAAGCCTTGTTGTTTTCAAGCAGCTAAGATGCCAAGAAGCAAAAACAAGATCTGCTGTATGTCCATATTGTTGTTTAAGGGGCAGTTTATATACCGTCTAAACATGTGGAAAGCTTATTTGTGCACACTTTGTTCAATTAGAAAAATTGAGTGCACTAAAGATGCGACAGCTTTCTTCTTTAAATGTGATTGACGTTGATCGCAACATTCTGGCGAACAGAAAGGTTTGTAGGTTGTTAGGCAACCATTAACTGTTTTCAGAGGATGACAAGCTGACAAAACATTGCTGTCACTCTGATACAAGGTTTATTTACGGAGAAAATTTCAAAGCACTGCTTTGTTGCACGAGTGTGTCACGACACTTACGGGCACAAGCCTCACGCCTTCATTGAAAAAACTTGATGAACACTAAAAAAGGCGCACTATGAGAACGGCCCCTAAAAGGCCGTCGTCATTTGTGATCTTCTGCAGTTGATCTTCTTGCACAGACATGCTGAAATTACCTGATTTGTTGACCAATGGGTAGTGGATCTATTCCTTGGCTGTTCGCGGGTCGTTCACTAGGCATTTCCCCTTACCAAGAAACTTTACAAAGACTTCTGTTTCTTACTCGTTTTGTTGCTTTAGTGACCAAAATGAACCAAGAGAAAACAGTCATTTTTCTAAATAAAAGATCATTCAGACTCAAATAGTTTTAAAAAATGTAAATTAATGATTTTTTGCGCGGTTCGGGACCAGTTCAAAAACCGGACTGGTACCGATCCATGCCACAATGGTGGACGACCACTGCTTTAGAGAATCTGTTTTGCTACTTTAGTGCAATTAGACACTTGCTTCTACCCATAAATATTCAAGTACACTGCATGTAAGATACTATGCTGCATAAACAGCAAACTCATTGCAGATTTTAGACAGGTGGTGATGGGGGATGTGGAGGATTTCAAAGAATCTCTGATGAACCAAATTTCTCAAGTTATAATTGGTCACTTTTGTACTTTTTTGACATTTCCTGAATCGGTTGGACTTTTTCTGATATTTTGATCTAATTTTATGTTACCAGGTCACAAAATTGACATGATTAGCAATAGGCAATGTAAAACAATACAGAAAGCAGCTGTTTATGGTTCATTTTGAGGTCTTTTGTTGATATTGTTTCCTCCTAAGAAAGTGGTTAATAGTGTGAATTGTTACTTAAGCTAAAGTATTGCCATATATATTTATTTTTTGTTATTTATTTAGAGGTACAAGTTCAGATGGCAGCATTTCTGGCAAGCATGCTTTAAAACCACTTTACAGTCTTTAATTTTTCATATTCAGTTCAGTTGGATGGAGAACCTGTGTTTGTTTTGAAAGCATTTGGCCACATGAAAGCTTAAACTATGAAAGCTACATTTTCAACTAAACCTGGTAGTGGTCAAAATATACAAACATACATAATCAGATACAAACAAATTCTGGAGATTTAGACAGGTGTTGCTGGTGAAGGCAAGAGATTTCTTATATGAAAACTATTTTACATATGTGAAGTTTATTTATAAACTAATTTTGAGAGGATCACGTGCTTATGATTGCTTGCAGCCGGCCCCACATTATTCAATTTATGATTCACCAATCAGATGATTCCTAAGCCATTATAAGTTACATATAACCTATTCGTTTTGAAGAATCCCCGCTTCCACCCCTGCTCCTCCATCTTTACTAGACGGATGGCACGGTGGCCCGGTGGTTAGCACTGTTGCCTCACAGCAAGAACTTTCTAGCCCTTACCGAGCCAGCCGATGTTTCTGTGCAGAGTTTACACATTTTCCCCATGCTCAGGTGGGTTCCCCCATCCACAACCCCCCCCCCACCCCCCATCCCCACCCCTCCCCCCAGGTTTCCTCCCAACATCCAAAAACATGCAACTGATGTTAATTGTGTCATCCAAATCAGCACCATAGACATACTAGTAAATAGTTATCTCTTAAGAGCATTTACTATCTGTTCATTAGCTTCTAGAACAGGGGAATTATCGAGATCTACCTGAGCTCAAACTCCCCTCTAGCCTTGCAAATGGGAGGGAGCCCCGGGCTCGAGGATCTGATGAGCTCAGGGCTCTCTCCTGGGACAGCATGCCAAACAAGCTTTATAATCTATCATCAGCTAAGTGTGAACTCTTGAAATGCTATATAGATATATTATAAACATATGTTTTATCCTATACAATCATGTGATCATCAGTCAACTGTGGATTCATGGCAGTCACATTGCATTACTCTGACAGGGTGATGGAGAATGAAGAGGGCAGAAAAGAGTATTTGGTGTTCCCCACAAGCAAGAACCATTGTCCCAGTCAGAAGGGGCGCAAAATACCCCTGAAGGGAAACGGCAGGAGAATCGATTACATCCTTTATAAAGAGGAAGGCCTTCACCAGGACTGGAAAGTGGTGAGTTCTGATTAATAAATCGACTTCCCTTTTATGAAGAACATTATGCAAAACATGACTAAACACATACTGTGAGTAAACATCACAGCGCACACAGAAACATGGGACTACCTGTGGGAAGTAAATACACCAGATGACTTCTGTTTTGCACATTCATGACTGTGTTTGGACATGTTTCTATTTGTAGTGTATTGAATATATTGTGTGTGTTTTACTTAATGCAAGAGTCAACTGGACACATATTGTGGATTAAACATTTTGTAGAACACTTGGGTATCCATTATGAATAATAAAAATATCCTAATAATATGAGGAGTAAACACAAGGGCAATGAATCAAAATTTGATCCAAAATGCAAAATAAGTTTTTGAAATGGTAACCTGATGCCGCTGTGCACTGTGTAAGATGTGTCATACTGTAAATAGGTTGTACTGTATGTAAACTCGTCACCTTGGAATTACAAGGTTCTATCTGCATTCTGAATGATTTTGAGATAAGCTTTAAAGTTTTTGGATTCCATAGCAAACAGTATGTGAGTAACATTTGTTTTTTAAATAAAAATTCTAAAAATGTAAACAACGTATATAAAAACATTCCATAATGTAAATAAGATGTAATTTAATAAAAATGTCAATAACTCAATTTTGACAAAAATGTCATATAGAATCTTATTATTCTAAGGTGACAAACTGTATAGCTTACTAATGTATGATTCAAAATGGCTATATTTCAAATGCAATTTTAGAATACCATCAAGTGCAAATTGTGTATTTCTTGTTGTTATTGTTAACTGTACATAAACTGTTTATTCAAATAAAATATATATATATAGAACTATATACAAATATTTAAAAAGAATTATTTAAAATAAATCTAAAATATGAAAAATACAAATTTATTAAAAAGAATATTACAAAATGTTTAAAAAAATGTTGACTAAACAGTTAACTGAAATAGGTATGCTGAATGTTAAAGCTAATTAGAAATTTTTTTAAAAACAAAACAAAAAAATATATATTATTAAATAAATAAGATAATCAAATGAAAATCAATTATGAATTATAAAATAATCAAATTAAACTTTTATTTTTTTAAAACACTGTAATATTAACACCAAGCAATAAACTGATGTTTTTAGTTATATTTACTCCAGCAGGCACAGATAGACATCGTATCCTAACGTCGTGGGACATTGCATTTGTAAATAAAAATCGGGTTCACGTCAGAATCCAGTGTCAGCCTAATGTCAATGTCCAATGTCAAACAGATGTTGCATTTTGGTCTAAAAACAACAAAATATCTAATCATGTTACAGTTTGACATTGGGTGGATGTTACCAATATGATGTCTGTCAGACGTTGGAATTTTGTTACGAAAAACCTGACCAATAAATGTTAGTATTTGACGTTAATATGATGTTGGTTCAAGATATTGGCTCGATGTTGGATTTTGGTCGCTTTCCAGCACAACCTAAAATCATCAAATTATCAACGTCGTTTCACATCGTTGTTGGATGTCAAATAATCATTGTACTTAGATGCTGGTGACAGAAATCTAACGTAATATCAAACCTCTTATGATGTTGAGTGTGCACTTGGATCTAACACCATAGTGCCCTCCTATGGAGCAGTATAAGTATAGCCTCCAAAAAGATCAATAGCATCTGACATGAGGTATAAATTGCTATATAATTAATTTATTTTAATAGTTCTTAAGGACTTGATCTATCGCCCCTTCACAGGATATAGAGGAGTTCAGCTTCATCACTCAACTGGCTGGATTGACTGACCATCTCTCAGTGGCTGCAAGATTGGTTGTGTCAACTGGAGAAGAGGAGACTTAGAACCCGGCCGTAATTGAGAAAAATCAATGCCACGGAGAGAGAGGAGAGAGAGGCAAAGAGAGAAGTGAATGAAAGGAAAAGCAGCAGGAGGAGGCATTTCGTCCAGCTTCCTGACAGATGAGGCAAGGGTGATTGAGAAGGTTGGTAAATCGTAAAAAACAACAACAACGGATGACATAAACTAGAGAGGGGGGTGAGGGAAGCTGAGAATACCGACATCGACTGAAAACAGGTGCATGTTGTTCTCTGTCCACCCCTGGACTCTGCTTGTTTACATCAAAACTGATAAACAAAAGATTTAACTCACCTTTGCACTTCTGAAGCTTCTCTGGGGCCCTAAAGGGGCGGAGGCCATTTTCTGGTGCCATGACCCAGATTTTTGAAGGAAGGCTGTTTCAAGATTGACTGTTCTGGTCGCCTTTGTACGTCGAACACGTGTTTCAAGTTAGATCTATCCCTCAGCGTTCTTCAAAAGACCTCAGCAAGTGTCTTTCTTTTCTAACGTCTTTTTAAGGTTTCTATGGCCTCGCGCCATCTTTTTAGGGAGTTTATATACTGATATACAATAATGGCATTGTATGGCCTCATCTAACACTACGTTAAACAATGTTTCAGATACAGTGACCAACTACCGGATGTGACCCCCAAACCATTGGTAGATGCATGCTTCGCAGTGCACCGCCATGTTTGTCATGGCCTGCATGTTTGACGTGAACGCCCAGATGCTATTTTTCACTAAAATCCCCAATCCCTGAACACCGTCTTTTTCTTCTTGCAGTATTGCTGTGGCTCCATCACAGGAATAAAGGTGTCATTGAAAGGCGCCGCAGTGTTCACTGTTTACATATTTGAGCCAAGATTGTCGTCCCCTGCAAATGTTTACACACAGTTCCCCAAGAACTACCCCAAGTTAGACCCACCTAAGCTCGCTGTTCATGTGTTAACACAACTGCTTTTATACTCTCTGAAAGTTTCTGTTATAAGTTGTTATTATTATTGTTATCATTATTCTTATGATTATTATGGTTCGTAGATTTGACATTTATGTGCTTTTTACAAATGACTACATTATTCCCCATGATGCATTTTATCTGCTTTTTTGCTGTAGTAGAGGTTTACAGCAGCCTAGTGTAGAGCTCCGCCCTGTTTTGACTGAAAGATGAATTGGCCAATCAGTATGCCTGTAGACGTGTTTAGCTTTGCTGTAACAGATGCTGTGTTCTATTCAGTTCTGAATGTGGATACTAAAATACTGGAGCCGTTTGAGATTCAGTGGAAATAACGTATTTCGCATGGAATGACAACGTGAAAGTAATGCATGTTAAACTGCTCTGACTGAAAGTGTTTTACCAAAGTTCATCAAAATCAAAAACATACAAAACCAACATAGGCTTATTCTGAAAACATTAGTAGAGATTGAAATTATGTAGCCAGAAGTACATCTTTAAAATGAACGCTACAGAACAATATCTGCTGACTACTTACCTCCATATAGACGACTTTCTTGCTGTTAACAGTTTTTCCAGTAGCTACCATGTACATTGGCGGACTTAAGATGCAGTGAGGAGTTGACCACGATGATGGTGTTCGAGTCTGGTAAAGAATGGTTATAGAACGCGAGCAAAACAGAAGCCAAAAAATATGATAAACAAGTAAATAATGGTGAGAATGTGGTAAAATCTGAAAATTTCATCAAATTCTTTTTCTGGATTGATTTTTAAAAATGTCAGTTGGGTTTATAGAAGTTTATAGAAGGTTAATCTGTGTTTCTGAAAACACTATTGGTTGGGTTAAGGGATGGAGGATGGTAAGCCAGTGATTCAGTCAGTCAAACAGTCAGTTGACAACGGCCTCTGCACTGCAAAACACTGCACTGTTTCTAGTCCAAATGTCTAAAAAATCTTAAATGAAGAATTATTTAGACAAGCAAAACACATTGTTTTGTTTTAAGAAATAATATGCCAAAATGAAGTGATTTTTTCCTTAAAACAAGCAAAATAATCTGCCAATGGGGTAAGCAAAACAATGTTATATGAAAAGGAAAAACAAGATTATTTTATTCAATAAAAAAAGATGTGCATAAGCTACGATAGAGACACTTTTACCGAACAAATTTTAGTATGCGCATTAAAAAAAAAAGTTTTTTTTTTTTTTAGGTCATTTGGTGATCAAATGTGTGTGAATGGATAATCCAGCAGGCTGAGCACATTGTAAAACATCTGAAATGTTGTTTTGGTCATTCTAATACGTCTTATCATTTCAATATTAGTGTTATTATATTATGAAATACCTCCAGAATAGTCAAGTGCATCTGTGCTCTGCATCTCATGCTTTCAAACGCCACCATGCATACATTGCATGTCGACAGAGGCGCAAGTAATGTATTAAATAAAAACAAAAGATTCAGGCAGCTTCTCCTACTGCAGCAAATTCTATTTTCATATTTGATATTTGGCGCCCTTTAATCAGGAAGTGATGATTTTGTTTTCTTTGACTACTTGGATGGAAACGCTGCTTTATTTGCACGTCTTTTTTGCGATATTACAGTTTTGCGCTTAAATTTATTACGCATCTTTGAATGGAAATATAGCTATTTAAGTCAGATTCTAGAATGAATGATCTTTTTGGTGAATCATAAACATACTGTAGTAAAACTATAATAGTCAGATTCATAAATAAATAATTCTTTGAATCTAATAAATAAAATGCAGTATGACAATGGAAGTGTATTTTCAATATTAATAATTATTATGATTCAAATCTTTTTGGAAACATGTCAAAGTCTCTTTAAGACAAGTAATTTCACTCGACAACCATCTTTGAAACACCACTCGGAATCCTCAGTCTATAGCTATAGCTGATTGGCTCCTTTACTAGTAGACAGGGCTTCATTCGCCATATTGACCGTTACATTTTTCCCCATTCAAAACTAGATGAGTGACATGTCTTGTGTCTTCTATAGTCGTTGGACTCGCTTTCTAAATGAATTACTTATTTAAGTGAAATAGTTTTTTGTGGATAAAAAACATATAATACAGCCATGTTTAATCTAAGATGAATGACCCTAAACCTATGGTTTTTATTTGATTATTTTGGTCAGATTAAAAACACATAGCCCACTGTAAGTATTAGATTGATTTCAGTTTATAGCAGTTGCTCATTAGACAATGTGTAGGTAAAATGACAAGTTCTGAGTTTCGTAATATAGTTTTTTGAAGTAGTGTTTGTGGTTGTGGTTGGAAGGCAGAAATAGGAACATCCCATTAAAAGTTTGAATAGAACACAGCATCAATCCAGTGCCGATTCACCCACCCCGCCACTAATGTTAATCTAGCGTATCGTTCTTTAATCAGGTCAGTGTGCCATAATAATGAACCCTATCCAGATCCACAGTACTTATGCTTATAAGGGAGCACAGGGTGCAGTTCAGAGTTTCTCATGGTAGTGAAAACCCTTGTTCTCAATCTGAACTCTTTCTATTGTAACTAAACTGCCATTGTTTTCCAAGGTCAGTGTTTCAGGGTCAAGCAGGAGAGCTGTAGTACAGATGCATGCAGTGAAATAGTGAAGCTTCACCATTTCTCACTCTCATCGCTGTCCATTAAGATCTTACTGTTCTCTATATTGTTTTTTTTTTGAGACTGTATGCTTTTTATGTTGTTGTTTCTCTTTTCTTTTTTTTAATTTCGAGGAATTTGGCTTGCTATAAGCTTTCGGCTGGTCAGGTTTTCAAGAGGAAAATGGAAAGGGAAAAGCTTTCTCAGTGTCAGCTCTTTATAAATGCATTTTGGTTCTGCTTTTTATTAAAAAAAATCCCCCTTTGATTCAAAGTGTGCGTGTGTTTTGATTATTTGGTAAAAAATAGTATTGTTCACAATGTTTCTAGTGAAATTAGCATAAATCTCATTGGGGTCAGTAATGATTTGACCTTTTTATGTTCTCAAAACTGTATTAAATATTTGATAAAAAATGATAATGTAATAAAATGAAATCTTATTACATTTTAGAACAAATTGCATCACATATTTAGGAATTTTCATTCTAATGGCTTAAAGGTGCAGCATGTAAGTTTGACACCCAGTGGCTGAACTAGGTATTGCACTCCTGCTTCAAAACGCATGCAAGCGCAGGTTGCCAGATTGATCAGAGTGTACCTGCCTATCGAGCCTAAACTTCATTGTTCTGTTATAAAATGATTTGCTTATGTTTTTACTGTAATACAATTATAATAAAATGGTACTGTGTTAGTTAAAATAATTTAAAACTGCATTATTATATTATTACCAAATATTTAAGGAAATTCCCCTTGACAAATTTTATGTAATACTGTTTGGTATGTTTTTGGCCCACAACCCTCAATCAAGTTTGTTTTTTTTTGTTCAAGTTTGAGCACCCCTGATATATACGATTCATAAACAAGGTGGTTTTACAAGTCTTCAATGTGGACACCTCCAAATGCCATTGAAAGAGTCAGCATATTGTATCTATGAGGTAAAAAACAGAATGTGCACGCCGATGAAATTTTACTAGTGACAAAAAAATAGTCAAATGCTGATGAAAGTCTGATTTAAGTCGTGTTCTAAATAAAATCAACAGCACATGACAGAAGGAATATTTTCATATTAAAAGCACTTTTTTCCTAACCAATACCTGGAATTTATTTTTTAGAATCGGTTTCTTTTTTCTTTTTTTGCAGCTGGACAACAAAAAAATTTATGACATGATCACCTCAGGGACACCTCATGAGCTTTATTCATTGTTAAATGCTAACAATGTGGGTTTGAATGTCATTTTACACAACATTTGTTGCCATACTACTGAAAGCTGCAGCAGATAGTTTCACCTTAGATCTTGAAAATAAAATAAAAGTTTGAAATTAACCTTTAGAACTGTGAAGTAATGCAAACCAACACATATCAGTTTAATATGTTTTAATAAGATAATAAACCATTTTGTGAGTGAGTGCACATTCTGTGCTTCTGAACAGCTGTATTTAAATT